TCTGCATTATTAGCAGCATCCTTCTCCACACACCCCACACATGCTCCTTGTCCCTTGAGTGCTTTTCCTTCCCTCCCCACTTAAAACGTGGTTACAAAGATTGGATTTTTGCATTGGGCTACTCCAAACTCACTGTCAGATCACATGTCTGTGGCCACAGCATGAACCACAAAAATCATACATCCACTGTTTCGTTTAGAATATTTTTTTCTTGTTTTCCTCCTCTAAAAACTACGTGCGTGTTATGGTCGGGTGCGTGTTATAGAGCGAAAAATACGGTAATTAGTTGCCCAAGTGCTTAACTTTGTCTGGATTATGCACATTGTAAATAGTTAACAAAGAAGCTGCCGAGCAACTTATTGCTGGGGAGTTTTATGAATGGTCCACCCATAAACGATGTACAAACTTGCCTTATGGCTGGCTAGAGAGTATCTGTCTATGTAGTCCAGTATGATTCATTCTGGCTGGCAGAAGCTTTCAATGTCTTTCACATCACCCTCTACACAATATTTCCCCCCAGTGATGATAAGAATTAAACCTGGGACCTTCTGCATGCAGATCTGGTGCCGTGATCCCCTGAGCTATGGCCCCTCCCAGAAAATAGATTACAGTGAGAAGAAAAAAACCCAGCAGTCATAATCGTACCTGAAGACACAGAAACATTGTACAGTCAAGCATGATGCTGGGACTAAATACTCTACTTCAGAACTTGCTTTGCAAATTAGACTATTTTTTAATACATATGACACACAACACCGTGCGCCTTTCCCCCCATTATGGGTCTCATGCATACCTAATTTTTTTTTCTTTCCGTGAAATACATGCATTTCAGAAGCAATTCTCTTTTAACACGCACATGACTAACTTCGCTTACATCTTCTGCCTATTTAGCAGAAACCCACCTTGAGAGCAGACACAGTTGGATGAAGACAGTTCAGAAAGCCAGCTTCCTTCCCCCCCCATTAACCCCCTTTCTGAAATTGCACATTGTTATGTCCATTGACCTTCCATTATGACATGGCTTAATGTGAACTCTCCTCTAGTCCCTGTAAATAAGCTAATGATTAATCAGGGCCAGCCCAAGGCATTTTGTTGCCTGAGGTAGAGTAGCAAATGCCTCCCACCCTGCAAATTAAGCTATTTTGGCACCTGAGGCAAAAAAAAAATCCCACAAGTTTCTCTCCCCCAGCAGCAAAAATGACATTAATAAAATAACTAACCATTTGCTGCTCTTTCATAGCACTGAAAATCAGCTGTCTGATGTGGCTGCCTCACTTCACCTACTGAGAAGAGATGGCTGTGTGCAGGGATTGCGAACCTTTTTGGGCCTTCACTCACTTGCCCAGATTTAAATGTTTTGTCCCCCTTAGGGACAAAACAGGACTAAAACTGACCCTTCCCACAGAGCGCAATGCCAGGATGAATGAGGGGATTAACAAACGATTACTGTAAAAGCACTTAAAACTAGAAGTGCTATATAATAAATTAACAGCAGCAGCAACGTCCTTTCTGAAGATTATTTCATGTTGTAGAAGTTCCAAATACGTCTGGTATTTGTAGCATTTAGAAGTGTTATGAAAAATGGGTCACATCTTACTCAAGCTGCAACCACAATGCCCTCAGATCAGACACTAAATGACTGTACAGTATGGGACGAGCACAGAAGGAAGTATTGAATGCAGTAAAATTAAAACGTATGTGGTGAGAAGAATTTGAGTTTCACTGGCTAAGGTTAGGGAAAGTGGATTTCACTAGTATCGTCTTTTTAAGTAATCTTTCATTGAAATTGTCTTGAAATAAATGACTAGCGCTTGGCATGTGAAGGATTCTATGGGAAACTTTACGGTCCATAAAAGACAGCGACTGACCTACAGGGAAATGTTCATCACTGGGGCAAGATTTATGGAGGGCCAGCTGTGATTATTTTCCCAGTGCCTCTATATAACCCTGGCTATTATTAGGTACAAAAGAAACTACCACCACAAACCATTTTAAAATATACTCTTTTGTTGTTGTTGCTACAGTCTCGAAGCAAGTATCTGAAGCTTGCAAGTTTTGGCTCTTTCCCCACGGAGCTCTCTTTGCCAATGCCAAAGTATGAAACGGCATCCCTTCTAGTTACCTCCAACATTGGGGGGGGGGGTCCTACCAATCTGGGATGTGCAGAAGTATACACAGGTTGCAACCTGAAAAAGCTACAAGCAGCGTCTGGTTGGCAGCTGGGGGGCCGGGGGAGAAATAATTTAGCATTACAGTAACTTAAGGGACATTTCACATTAGTGGCAGGACATGGAGAAAACGACTGGAAGCAGGGAACAAAAGCTAGAATATTTAAAAGCATCCAATATGCACAGTGAAATGGCTTCCAAGCTTTAATTTTATGTTCAGTGGGGTTACAAATGGCATTTATCTTAATTTAGTGTCTGCATAGTGCAGTTTCCAGCAAAGGCATAAAAAAGGGAAATAGCAGTTTCTCACTATGATGCTGTCCTATTTCAAGTGTCAGCAGTTCCATTAGCTTTATTATCCTGTATGACAGTGACAGATGGCTGACCGTTCAACACCTTCCGATAACATTATATATGAAGAGTTATTGAGCCCATGTCTTCCCCTTGCAGAACAATTTCCAGCACACATCTGCAACCATGCTGCTCTGATCCAGCTCTGCTTGAGTATATACATCAAGAAAGATTCATGCAAGACCTGTGCAAGAACGTGGATGGGAGCCTGCTTTCAAATGCACGTCAAAAAAGGGCAACAAAGCACAGACTGGGGGAGTGGGGGTTAAAACTTATTTAGTCCAAGGCTTGCATTTCCTTGTGGGCAACTTTCCAGGGGCAACATGCAAAAGTGAGTTGAACCAGAAGCAAAAGTGGGCAGAGCAACAGATGTCATGTTTACTTTTTGTCCAACAGGCTACAGTCTGGCTACACAGAAGTCAGAGACTTATCACAGTTTAAGGACATACGTATTCTCACCAGCCAAAAACACTGATGGAGGGTGTATAGTAGAGCTGAGGAGGGGGCAAAGCCTTGGGAGAGTCTTGAGAAACGGATAAGAAGAGAGGCAATTTGCATGGTTTAGCCTAATCTCTATGAGGGCTGCTGTTGCTGCTGCAGTTCAGGGTTATAATATCTCAGATTAAAGACTCCAGCAGCAGCTCTCATACAAACCAGGCTAAACCATACCAACTGCTGCTGCCTCTGGTTAAAGCACCCAATTCCTAAAGTTCTAATTTTCTGCTGCTAAATCTGGTGTTTTATTATTATTATTAAGCATGAGTTTAAAAGGACTGTTTAATATAAGTATAATTTTGAATGTATCAATATGATATGCTTTTCGTCGGGTTCATGATACGCCGATTGTGGACCTAATGTTCTGCTGATTTGTTTTGAAACGGATTGTGAGAAATATTTTGCTTTACACTGTTATCCTGTTATCCTATCACAATGTGGGTTGGTATATTATATTGCGGTTAATTTGAATCCTGTTTCAGGATTTTTATTACTGTAGCTTAATTTCTTATTTTTAGTGGATTGTCCAGTCTTAGTTTAATATTGCATTTATTAACCGCAGGGGTTTTGGAGAGCCGACTGAAACATTAACTCAGGAATGGAGAAGCTCATTCCTGGGGGCCAAATGTGGCCCCCCAGCCTATCCATCTGGCCCTTGGGACTCTCCCCAGGCCACACCCCTCAGGGGTCCTACTTCACACCTTGAGTGTTTTGGCCTGGCTGGAATGCACAACCCCAATTTATACTATTCCCATATGCTCTAAACTGAATTGTTAACTGATTGTCTTGGAATGCTGCGGTGATACATTTTATTATGCATATTCTTGTCAACTGCACTTTGTTCAGAGGCTACTGTGAGCCACTCTGCGTGCTGTTTATCAGGGAAAAGGTGGCACACCGGTAAACCAACGGTGGTTGTAACAACTGTTTTTCTGGCACTGCAAAATAATAATAATAAAAGGACTTGTCCCTTGTGCCCACCACCACACTTCTAATGGCAGGGGCAGATGGAACTCAGCTGGCCACAGAAGAGGATCTTATGAGTCAGGCAAGTTTCATGTGAGTGGGCATGATTAATATATAGTCTGGTTGCAGTCTTTTCAGAAACTACTTCAAAGTGCTGGTTTTGATCTTTAACGATCAAAAATTTAGGGAGCCAGCACTTTGAATTGAGCCTGGAAACAAGGCGGAAACCAATGTAGATGGCATAATTTTGGAATTATGTGTACAATCTGCCAGTTCTAGTAATATCCTGGCAGCCACATTCTGCCCCAGATGAAGCTTCCTATCTGTTTTCAAAGGCAGTCCCAACATCACAGCATACAGGGTGACTACAGTGGGAATGACGCTGGCAAGGTCTGACTTCTCAAGGAAAGGATGCAATTCACATACTGATAAAAGGCGTCCCTGGCCGCTGCTGTTGGCCATTCAGGATCCCCACTAAGCTGAGAACTTTTTAAGAAAGAGGAGCACTACCTGTCCAATACAGATTGGACACCTATTCCTAGATCACAAGAAACTTGAATCAATAGTGCATTGTTCTCGCCTGGATTAAGCTTCAGTTTGTACAACTCCAACCACTTCGAAACAATGACAATTCCCACACTGTGGTGTAAAAAATAAAATAAATGGTGGGTGGGGTGGGGGAAACACATACGTGAAATGTGATGTGAGACTATACATATGTGTGCAGTCATCAGCTAGAACATGGTGTGTATTGGGTAGTTCATACTATGGATTCAGCAATAATCTTTGGGGGCAGTGTTACAACCAGGAGGTTAAGATCTATGCATGCTAGTATGCATAGACACTAGTATTTTCTTTGGGATGTGAGGGCTAGGTAGATGAAGGAAAATACACTGCACTTTCAAAATTGCACACAGATGCTAACAGTCCATCAAAAGATAGTTTTACGTAAAACCATGAATTTAATGGATTTGTGAACATGTTGCAATTTTCTGAAAGCTACGAAACCGAAACTGCAAAGGGGCATAGCTCAGTGGAAGAGCATCTGCTTTGCATACAGAAGGTCCCAGGTTAAATCCATGACATTTTCAGGTACAGCTGGGAAGGTTCTCTGCCTGAAACCATCAAGAACCATTGCCCATTTAGTGGAGACAATACTGAGCTATAAGGCACTTGCTTCCTTGTATAAGGCAGCTTCCTATGTTCTTCAGGAATGATGGATAGTTAAACCTTTAGAAGCCTCATGTTACTCTCAATGTTACTGGCACTATATAAAAACCAACACTATACTTTTAATGTTATATGATGACCTTAGCATTTTTTAAAAAACAAATTTTAACATTGAAAGTTAAATGTTGTTCAAATGCAAAATCAACCAAAATGCTTCAAGCTACAGCTCAGAAGGCAATAATCTTGTAACGCTATGTGAAATGGACTGCTCTGAAGCAAGAATGCAGCACTTGCTAAAAGTAGCCATAATGACAGCATTTGCTGGCTCAAAACCCACTCATTTCTCTCTCTCTCTCTCTCTCTCTCTCTCTCTCTCTCTCACACACACACACACACACACACACACTATTCTGTTAGGCACCACTATGTATGATTCATGCTTGCCGTACACCTTTAATCAGCTTCTTTGTTCCGTTAGCACAAAGATTTAAGCACATTAATTCACATCCTAAGTGTCCGCTCTGAAGTACTGCCTGCAATCTGAAGTACAGCGGTGGCTGTGCCAGCATTATGTGCTGATTTTCAACCTTGCACTGGCGTGTATGCAGCCTGCTTTCCTCTAAATATTCCGTTTGCCGCTGTGGCATGTTCTTGAATCAGGCTATAAATCCTTCACCAAGTCTGAATCCAAAGATGGTTATCCTTGAATAGTGTACTTGATACTTTCCAAGTACAGAATAGGCTTAGAGACGCTGGGCCCCTTCAAATGTTACATGGTGGACACATGCCACAGCATACACATGCAAGAGGGAGCCTGGAGCTGTACAATGCACAAAGAGAACACACACGCCCACACATGAACGTTCCTGGGTACACATAAAGTGGTTCACTTGCACATCTGAATGAAAAGTGCAATGTGTGGAGCCGTTTTCAAGAAAGGGGCAGTTTAAACTTGTGCTGGGGACACCAGGAGTGTGAATGACAGATGTCCTTATACAGAATATTTCACGTTCCCGAGCATTGATCCAGTGCAGTTTTCATTCTACAAATTCTTTCTGGGTTATCCTGGTAGAATTATCTGAGCAGCTGCAAATAATCACATGACCCCCAAGACTATGAATAGTGGGCATCACAGTACCCACCCTCGTCTAAAGTAGCAGCATACCCAAAGACAAAAAAAGATCCCAAGTATTACAAGTGGTTCTGGTGGCACTTTCCCGTTTACAAAAACCTGACAGTTCTGAGGTCATTTACATTTATAATGGAACTGGGAAGCTTCAACTAAAAGACCCAAATCTGGGAAATATAGGTCCATATTTTTGTGAGCTTATCAGCAAACTACACCAATGCACATGGGATTTTGCCAACCTAAACTTTGTGTTTCAAAGCTTTCTACAGTTGCCTTGATTTGTGCTCCAATATTTTCACATTGTGGATTTAAGCTGTCCTCATTCCCATGCTTGCAAGCTGCTACTATAACACTGTTGTCTCTCTCCTTGACTCTAGTTCACTTTCACTCCTTCCTTGAAAAACAACACAATCACCAACACTGTCAGAAATCTCTTGTGGGAGTTTAAGGCACATTCCAGCCAAGCAAAGTACTTGGGATACAAAGCAGGGTCAGTAAGGTGTGTTTTGAGAGCCAGATAGGAAAGCCTAGAGGGCCACATTTGGCCATAAGGTCTGAGGTTCACAAACCTTGATAAATATAAGAGCCACAGTAGAACTAAAGCAAATACAATAAACAGTGACTACACTGGGACACATAGGTCATACAGGCAAAGCACGGCTGGGAAGAATAGGATGGGCAATGTTAAGTCATGCTCCATCAATTTAGGCTTTTTGTCCATGTGGAAGACAGGAAATAGGAATGAAATGACGAGCTGTCTGGAGGCAGGGACACTAACACACACAAAAGTTTCAAATTTTCTCTCATGGATAGCTTGACTTTTCTTGTTCCCCTTATCACTCTTTTGACACATGCTCCTAAGCAAAACCTTTGAAGCAGGGAGCTAACACTGAACATGGAGCTCAATGGCACAATCTTCCTGTCCATAGTATAAGACATATCCTTCCTTTTACTCAATTGTCCAATGGTACACTATCATTTTATTTAACAACACCATTCACAGAATTGTAGAGTTGGAAGGGACCCCAAGGGTCATCAAATTCAGCATCCTGCAATGGTTCACAGCCGGACGCACTGACCCACTGCACCACAGAGGTGCTTCCTTTAACCATAACATGGTTGTTATGAGGACAAAATGGGTGGTAGTAGAGGCAGGTACCCTGCTTTATGAGAAAGAGTGGAGTATAAAAGTAGCAAATTAAGGCTGAAGCATAAAGGGAGTCTGTTTCACTGTTGAACAGTTCTTACGGTCAAAGTTCCGATGTTTAGTCAGAATCTCCTTTCTTGTAACTTGAAGCCATTGGTTTGTGTCCTACTATTCATCCACATGTAGGACATACATAAAGTGGTGTGTGATCAACACTGTTGCCTGTTGTCTGACAGTTCAGTGCGAGAGCACTTTCTAGTAATTATGAGCAGGCGAAAGAATGTGAAGTGTGAATACCAGCAGCGTTTATGTTCATCGCCAGCTATTTTGATTTTCAAAGTTTTGGATTGTATGCATGGAGGATAATGCTTCTCATTGGCTTTATGGGGAAGCCCTTTGCTCTCAAGATCCATTTGGAGAAGAGAGGGCCAGAGGGTTATTTTGTCCTTGTAACAGTCCATTTGAAGTGGATTACGTACGTTACAAATGGATTATTACAGGTTGCACGGCTCGTACAGGAATGTGGGAAAGCATGCAGACGTAAGCAATTTCAAAACAGCGCCCCAAAATTCAAGTCAGCTCTGGAAATTAAGCAGTAGAGGGGTCATATCTCATGTGCTTTCCATGTGGAAGGGCCTAAGTTGAATCCCCAACATCTTTAGCTAAAAGGGTCAGGTACCAGCTGAGGTGAATCTAAGGCTGACTGGAATACTACTGCCAATCAGAGTAGACAATGCTGGGATGCATAGACAGATGGCATAACCCAGTACAGTCATACCTCGGGTTACAGGTGCTTCAGGTTGTGTGTTTTTGGGTTGCGCACCGCGCAGAACCCGGAAGTACCGGAATGGGTTACTTCCGGGTTTCAGCGTTCGTGCATGCACAGAAACACTAAATTGAGCTTTGCGCATGCGCAGAAGCGCTGAATCGCAACCCACACGTGCGCAGATGCAGCGCTGAGGGTTGAGAATGCTGCGGGTTGTGAATGTGCCTCCCACACAGATCACGTTCGCAACTCGAGCGTCCACTGTATAAGGCATGTATTCACTGGTTGGAAACAGTGGGAGAACTCCAGGCTGATACTGGTAAAATACGCAGGGCCATATGATTCTCAGATGCGCAGAGGCATGTTATCTTAGTACTGCTCCTCCTGCATAACAAACAGCACTGTCTAATTTTAAAACACACACCCTCATATTATTCTGCTCTCAAAAGCCCATCCGATGAGTTGTCAACAGCTCGAAGAGAAAATAAGAAAAGCACTTGAAAAGTTGCAAGGTACAAAGGCAGAAATGAAGGGAGGTTCTATACCCGCCCATGTCCTCCATTTGCCCTGACTGGGGCAGTTCTATGTTGAAAAGCACGTGGAGCAACAGTCGCTGCATCAAATTCAGCCCCGGCATCTAATTAAATACAGCCCTTGTCACCAAGAAAGCAAAAAGAAAAGCAGAAAACAGAAAGAGGACAAGAATCCTGAGGAAATCAGACCACAGGCTTATCCAGCACAGCATTCTGTTCTCTCAGTGGCTAACCAGACAGCTACAGAAAGCCCACAAAGCAGGGCATGTGGGCAATAGTATTCTTCTGCTGTTCTTCCCTAGCAATTGGTATTTAGAGGCATAATGTTTCTGAGTAGGCATCACTAGGCATGATGTTGGGAAGCGTTCATCCTCTAGCCCAGCTCAAGGCTAGCCGGAAGTTTCTTGATACCCTAGAGCAGTCAGAGTAAGAGCAATCTCATGTGAATCAACAGTTACCTTCAGAACTCTCTGAGATGTGCCAGAAAATCCTGGGGCGCACTCTGTATTTATGCAGCAAGAAAGACACATTGGAAGTCACCAGAGTATGTGAGTTCCTAAATTCCTACTTTGATTTTGCTTCAGAATAATAACCTAAGCACCATTTGAAGTGTGCTAACAAAGGCATCCATCTAGTGTGTTTACGTGGTACACATTTTATATGCAACTGTTTCATTAGGGATAGATTCAAGCAACTAGTTTCTTCTGTTAACACACACTAGCTACTTGCACAGAAATAAGTAACCGGGAATCTGCCATGTAGCTAGCTCTGTATATTTTGGAAGCTTCAAAAACCCTGATTTCCCCAAAATGCCAATACTTGGGTACTGAAATGCAGGAGTTGCCACACTGTATTTTTTATTGGGGGGGGGGGGAGATGTCTGGCTGAATCTGTAGGCTGATTCTGAGAAGTGATTTATCAGTACAACCTCTCCACACCTCAACTGAAATATTACCCTGTTTTGCGCATATATATGCACAAACACACACCACATCAACTTAGCCCACTTTTGAGAAAAAAGCCTAAGCTAAAAATGCCTAAGCTATTTATAAAGTACTTTGTGACAAGTTCAGCTGTGGCAGAAAACATACTTAGGAAGCCCACAAATTGACAAAATTACATTCTCCATTTAGTTTTTAAAGAGACAATAAGTACTTCAAGATCAATTTATTCACAGTCTAATGTTATCTGACGAATTACAGCTTTTAGGATGATTTAACAAGTGCTATATGGATCCCCCCCACCAGTTGGGAAAAAACCCCCACTTCTTTGCATGGTTTTTTTGTTTTGTTTTTGATGAAATAGGAATCAAAAGCAGGACTTACATGTAACTTTCCCAGGATCTGTGCTGGCTAATATTCTCACGAAACAGGGAAGTGGACAAATGGAGAGATTAGTAGGTTACAGCAATCCATTAAGATAAGAACGCCTGAAGATTCACAGGGCAAGCTTCTGGGAGCTCAACTTCTCTGGTGGCAACCTAAACATAACAAAACATCAGGACACATTTGAGAAAACAGGTTTGCATTGGCACAAGCATCCCCTTTCCCCTACAAAATTTTATAATCTCATAATGAATTAAAAGCTATACATTGAGCTTCTGTTCTTCAGTGGCATTAAAGAAATGAGTCAATCAATAAGCATTCTCAGGATGTTCTGATAATGAGCAAAGCCAGTGTCTCTCTCTCTCTCACACACACAAATCCACAAAAATTACTAGCCCAGCTAACATTTCTTTAAAAATTTGCTTGTCTAGTTATACCTACCTGTGTTAGTCATTTGTGGCCTACATAAATGTTTCAGTAGCTTAGCTCTGGAAGATTCCAAATGCTGTTCTGTACAGGCACATAACCTGTCTTTGATGCACCACAGAAAACCACAAAGAAGAAATTACTTTCTGTAAGCATGGAACATAGTGCCTTGTACACTGGGTCATCTACTATTGTCTGCCAATCTATAAAGTAAGGTGGGGCAGAGAGCCTGCATAAACCATTCTCAATAAATACAAAACTCAAGTTCTACCTGGATGGTAAAAATCTTAAATAATTTGTAGAGAAAGATGAAAAGCACATATCAACAAGTCCATGTGTAGCAAAAGTAGTAGTGTGTGCGTTTGTCATAACAGAGCCCCATTTGCTTTTTCCAGTCAAATTACAATTGTTCTGGGAGGAAGGTTGGAATGGAGGTGGGAGAAACTTGAGACATGATGGGAAAGTCTGTGGCCTAGTACAGATGTCTCTGCTGTTTCACTCCAGGCTTTATGTGAAAGCTAACACAAAAACATAAGAGCAGCCCTGCTGAATCAGGCCAGCATTCTGTTCTCACGGTAGCTGCCCGGAGGCTTGTAGGCAACCCACAAGCAAGATTCAAGCACAAGGATTCAGGGAAGAAGATTCTAGCCAAGGCTTCTTTCTGGCATGCCAGATATCTATATGTACACACCTTTTTCTTTTTCAGTGGGTGGCCATTTCATAGCACGGGACAGTCTTGACGTGGCAGAGCCCAAACATAACTTTGCCACCTCAGTGAGAACCAGGTCCACCCTGTTCTTGGAAGGTGTGATTGATGTTCACTGCTGTAGAAGCCTGGGACTGCATCCCACACATTTCATTCCGTTTCTGCAAATGTCTCACTCTCTATTTCTCTCTCTGTGTTCCCCAGATATCCTTACACTACACTGAGTGAGCCAGAGCGTATTAAGTTTAACACATGACCTATAAAATGAAAGCAGGAATTTCTCTGCTCAGGGGTCAGGCTAGGGTAAGTTGTAATCTAACCTTGTCCTAATGCATTGCTAAACATCTGTGTCTAGTCTTAACTCCATCCCATGCTTCTGTTTTATACAGCTATTCTTATTCTGAAATGTGGGAATGACTAATAGAAACAATTTCGTTACACACACCCAAAAAACAAAACAAAACAAAACAAAAAAGAACAGGCACAAGGAGAACATACTCCCATTGATCAAGATTTGATGTAAAACACCTCCACCCAAGTATATATGAATCCTTTTCCTGCATTGGCTTCACACTCCAAGCCACACAAACAAGGTCGGTACAACAGAATGCAGCTATATGCTCATGGAGGTAGTTGTAGATGTAGATCATAGGTCAACAAAACTGAGTATAGAGAATAGGCTTCCCACAAATCTCTAGAAAGCAATGCTCATCTATCTACCCATGTCTGTTGCTCCAAATGCAATCACTCACTCAAACAAACAAACAAACAAACAAACAAGGAGTTTGGTTTGGCAGAAACATTGTTTAAGATGTGTGTTCTGCCTTGCGGCTATTCTGCCACAGCTGGAGGCTACTTGTTTGGGAAAATAATCTGGAAGAACGAAATTGCTGAAGAGGAGTGGGACGGGGTGGAAGAAAAAGCATTATCTTCCACCAGAACAGGCTTCTAATTCTACCCCCTTCTTCCTTGAACAACCCATCACTTGCTGATTAGACCTGTTCCAGAAACTACCATGACTTCTGAAAGTTATGCACTAAACCAGCAATACTGATTGCTTCAAATGTTGCAAGATCACCATGGTATGGACTGTGATTTCTGTTTCAGCCTGAATGAACTCAAGCAGAAATTAGAATTAATGAAGTGGAAATGAGACACTTTAAAAACAAAACACAATAAAGCAGAAGATGGCATAAGTAGAGAGCGTCCTTTCAAGCAGCAATGCACATTTATATAGGGCACTCCAAGTGCTCAGAGCATCTCACATATATCATCTTGAGATGCTTCACAACATCCCTTTAAGACAAAGCAAGGATTACTGTTCCTATATTTTAAATAATACTGGTTTGCAACAATACACATGACTTGGCTTGTAAAATGCATTGTATGTTGGGCTCACCTTAAAAACCACAAAGGAACTTCAAGTAGCTCAAAAATGCAGCAATTCAGCTTCTACCTGGAGCTCTCCACAAATCCTCCAAACCACCAAATTCTTTCTGAACTTCACTGCTATCAATTTGTGCTAAAGACATGGTTCTGGCTTTAAAGTCCTGCAAGCCTGAGTGCGGACTACTACAGGAAGTTCCCTAAAGTCAAGGGGAAAGACACTGCTTCAATTGCTACAACTATGATGTAATGGACAGATTCTCCGTCTTCCTCCTTACTGGTGAAGTAGGACCACTGAGATATACCACACCCATGTAATTTTCCCTCTAGTAGCACCATCACTATGCTTTTATAACCTTATTCTGAACACACAGAAATTCAAACAGGTATCTTAAGGTGGGGAAAGGCTGTAAAAATCCCTGAGTTTCTCAGACGAAGGTCCCTGACTGAACATATGTAGAATGAACACGCACGCACGCACGCACTCACAGAGACACACACACAGTGTGTGTCTCCAAGAGTTCACTTAGCTCATGTGACCAAATAAAAAAGCTCAGCTCTAGCTGGAACTGCTTACAGACACATTGGGGGAAGGCTTAGCAAGTATATAATAGGACCCTGCTTAGTTTTTAGGTTAAATGGATCAGGTCACTTCCCTAAACTTAGTCAAAACAAGTTGCGAACGTTTGAATTCCTTTCTGTACCAAACAGCATTTGAGGAAACGTTTGGCACATTCTATGCTTAACCTCATTTTGAGGAATAGCAGGCCTGGAAATTTTGAAGCCAAAAAGTTCTTTTTCCTGGACTGAAGTTAGAAATGGAAGTGCCAAAACAAAAAACAACAACTTTTTTGGGGGGGGAGGGGGAGGGCAACTTGATCCCGTTAAAATTCATGGCAGCCCAGCAGAAGACAACTGAATAGTTAACCCAGAATTTCAACTGCCCCGCCCACTCCAAAAGATAAAGGTGTCCGGGTATTTCAAAATACACAGGCTTTGCCTGAGACCCCGAAGAGCTCCTGTCAGTCAGAGCAGGCAACACTGGCCTGACCTAATATAAGTCAGCTTCCTATGTTCCTGTATCACTATATTTGAGGAACTGGTCACGGTTTGCTAGCAGAATACATGCTTTGCATGCAGAAGATCCCAGGTATCTTTAGTCAAAAGGATCATCTCATTCAACCTCCTGCAATGCAGGAATATTTCACTCCAAGTGGGGCTCGAACCCATGACCATGAAATGAAGAGTCTCATGCTCTACCAACTGAGCTATACCTCAAAAACTATAAGGCATAATAATTTTTTATTCACACCAGTGACTTTGATATGTGAGATAATCTAATGCAGCAATTTTAATCAAAATGTAAGATGTAGTACCCCCCCCCTTTTAATGTGGTGATCTGTCAAGGAACAAACCCACTGAAGAAGATAACAGTGGTTACTCAAACTTTGTTGCTGGTTGCAAAGAGGGCCCCATATCAGTTCAAGCTTCAGGGCCGCAAAAATGCAGGTCTGCCACTGCCAGAACTACTTGGAATTCCAAGTTAATTGAAGCAATAAACTATTTACATTTTATCTAGATAGAAATGTTCAAAATTAAGGGGTGTGGGGCAGCTGTGAGTGAAGAAGTGAATCACCCTATTGGCTCTGCTTTGTGTATGCATATATTGTATCATATACAGTGGTACCTCTGGTTACGAACTTACGGTAATTCATTGCAGAGGTCCGTTCTTAAGCTGAAACTGTTCTTATCCTGAGGCACGCTTTCGCTAATGGTGCCTCCCGCTGCATGCGTGCCTCTGGCGTGCGACTTCCGCTCACATCCTAGGGCAAAGTTCGCAACCAGGAGCAACTACTTCCAGGTTAGCGGAACTCGTAACCTGAAGCGTGCATAACCGGAAGCGTTCGTAACCAGAGGTACCACTGTATCCATGAATACCAAAAGCATGTGGGTCAGGCCAAGAGTGCCATAAAACTGGAGCTCTGCCCTTAGACAGCACAGGATGCATGGAAAGTCTTGTTGACAGAAGGTGCACAGCAGCAGTTTCTACTGAAAGTTGGACTGCGCTTGCACAAGACACAGCAGCGGGGAAACCTGCCTAAATTTGCATAGTAAGGGCTGGTGCTCAATGCATGGATGTACCTCTGTAAGAAACCTTTCTCTGCTCCCCTCCCTTCTAATCTTCCCACTTCCATGTATATTACTTCTTAATTGTTTTTGAAACACAGGCCCTCCCTAGAGTCGTGGGAGCATGGAATGTGGTTTGATACTTATGTCTGTGCTTGGCTTGGCTTAGCTTGCACAGGGAAATAGCATACCTAAGCAAAGGGGCGGGGAAACACACCTAGAGACCAAAATCAAATCCATAGATTCCAACACTACTAGAAGAAATTTGCATATTTCATTTTAAAAACACATTGCCCTGTTTAATTCACTGCAATTTCATACACTCAATTCAAGTGTAATGCCCTGGCGCTTCCCCCTTCCCTTTCCAGAAATAAACATCCCTTTTACACAAAGATGTGCTGCCTCAGGAGTAGAGAAGTCTTGGAAACTGAGATGTGAAAGCTAGGAGCTAAACAGCACCTTAAACCTAGATTATGGGCGCTACGGAATGTGTAGGCGCGCTTTTTTATAACAAGAATACAAAGCTGAAAATGAATGAACTGCAGCTAAAATATTATGTTTATTTTTCACATGGTCTAGTCCTTCCCTTGCCCACCCCCCCTAATATTCTTAAGAAGGTCTCTTCTCCAGTCTTCAGAGAGCACCTGGAAGTGAGGAAGCAGAACAAGGTCCTCCTTTCCTTCCACTCTGCAATTTTAATCTGAAATCTTAGGTGCAGTACTACGTCCAGAGCTCAGAAACTGCTTGCCCTAATGAAATTCCCTGTCGCAAAATGCACCTAGAACAATGGGACTTTCTAACACTGGAGCAGAGACATTCTCTACAAGAGATAAGAAGATATACCGATGTCAAGTTTCTCACTCGTGTGTCTATAAAAATCTGCAAGATACTATTTAGGACTTGTCTATATGGCAGTTTACTGAAGCCTATACCTGCACAACATGGATCCAAGGGCTTGTAGACCCCTCTAACTCCTGATAAATTAGGCCTTTGTGCTAAAATAGCTATACTTGGGTTTTATTCATGCATCCTTTGTGTAAGCATTTCATAGAATCAGATAATTTTAGAGTTGGAAGGAACAAGGGGTCATCTAGTCCAATCATCTAGTCCAACCATCTGCAATGCAGGAATTGTTTTGCCCAAAGTGGGGCTCAGACCCACAACCCTGAGATTAAGAGTCTCACAATCTACCTGCATTTTGTCATATATCAACCTTAAACCATCACCACCATCTTTATGAATCGTCTTTCACATAAGCTACATACAAACAACTAAAAATAGGTTAGAAAACAACTAAAGATAGATTTAAATAATAACAAATACCCAAAGCACAGACCTTTAAAAGGAAACAAAAACAGCCAACTGGAAAAGTTTCTCAAAACAAAAATGTCCTCAGTTGTTTCCATGAAGCACAAACAGTGGGTGCCTGTTGTATTTGCCATATTTCTTAATCACTGCTGTGTTTGCCGCCCTTTTCGAGGAAGGGCAAGATACAAATTTAAATAATAATAAGAAAGAGGCAAAGCAGTTTCTCACGTAACTCAGTCCCAAGCTTTATACATTCTTTTACATTAGGAACAAGCAACATTGCTGCAATGTTTCCCCTCCAACTACACAGAAGAGTGGCATGGCTCACTGACGCAAGCAGCCACTTAGGTGCTAGGTGGGACAGGCAAAAGCAATAAAAGAATGGGGGGGGGGAATCACACAGAGGGTCCAGATATGCCAACCATGGCCAAACACATACAGTTGTTTAGGATTGCCAACACCATGCATTATTTGTTAGGTGTCAGATATGTTAGGTGTCATTTGTTAGTAGTAACATTTGTTTCTTCTCAAGATGCGATAGGTAAAAGCTTTGCAAATACTATTTACAATAATAGCTCTGCTGGTGAATACGGGGATCCCGAGACTGAGTTAGCTGAGATGTTGCAGGCCTTCTGCAGGCTAAAGCTAAATCAAATTCAGACTTAGCACAGAAAAATCGTAATAGTACACGCAAGCCTTATGCTCCAATCCTCGGAGTGTTTTGTTGGCTCAGGTTTGAGCAGGTGGAGTACCTTAAGGACGGGACTGTTAAGTCACTGAATTCAATGCCATGAATGCAAGCACATATTTAAAACAACAACAATTATATGACCTCAAATGTAGTAACATCCTGTCTTTGCTAATACTTCCAACAAGTCCCATCAAATGCCGTAACTGAATCAGACAGCACTACAGGCAGTGAAATCATTCACTAGGAATTTGTTCTCCAATCCAAAAATTAGATGTGCCAGACAGTTCCAACTTCAGTTTCCTCCCTCCCCCCCCCCCCAATAATTGCAGCAGGACTGGATGGGTTTTACTAAGAGGAATCTATGGGACTGCTGACGTCCAGTGCATTTTAGACTACCAATGAACAAGCAATAATAAATATAATGCACTTGTTTTTTTCAAAGTTGTGTTTTGTTTCTGTCTGTCATTCAGAAACATATTTTGCATCTCAGCTTCTGACTCACCAATTTAACATACACCCTGACTGAAATGACTAATAAAGGAAACTCAGCAAGTGCTACAGTTTGACTCAGTTGTTTCTTTAACAAATGAAAATATAGATACAAATTTCCCCAGTTATAATTGTAAAGGGAAAGATCTATACGTCATCCTATTAGCTGGACTACTTTTATTACACAGATCCAAAGCAGTCTTCTGCCCAAGCTTATTACTGCTTTTCTGACTGAGCAGTGATGTAGAACACAAATCTGACTTCAACTATAAAACAAAAACTATTCCTAAAAAGAACCTAACATGAAACCGAAACTCGGAAACTGCCATAGCATTGAATGCTTGAGTCATCAATTACTTTTCTCTATTAATAACCAATACTGACTCAATTTGGGGTTTTGTTTATTTCTTTTATTTACCTTCTGCTGACGTTTTAAAAACCCGTGGATAAACAAAACCATATAATTCCACATGTGCTCCCAAATCTGTTTAATTGAAGAAAACATACCTCAGAGTCAGATTTTGCTTATGCATTGACATTGTGAATCATACTTTAATACAAGAGAGAGGGAGGGAGAGATAGAGAGAGAGACAGAGAATATGAATGATGGTAATTGTGACAGAGACTATCTCTAGAATTGGATTCCAAGTCCAAGTTTGGCTTTCTGGTGTAAAAGAGAGAGAGAGAGAGAGAGAGAGAGAGAGAGAGATTACTATATTCCTTCACAAGTTTCCATCAAAATGAACATTTAGTCTTTAAAGTCCCACACTAAAGACTCTTTCTGACAAGAATGAAAAATTCAGAGAAATCTTTTAGGAGGTAGTGACTGATTTCCACCCTAATGTTAAACAGGAGCACATGTAACTGTATTTTATTCAAAAAAAGAAGTCACTCAGCTTCAAGCGTGCTATAGGAAAAATGCTTTACACCAACTAGGAAATATGTAGCACTACAGACATGTGTTGTGGTATTGAGTTCATGGTGGCATCAACCTACAAATCTCCACATGAAGATGCAGGCTTGTCATGAGACTCTAATCCGGTGCAACTTTAAAAGAGAATGTCAACACTGCCAGTGTTGAGGTCAGAACTGGTGACCAACCTTTCCTAAACGACAGCATATCTGTACCTATTTTGTTCCCTGGAACAGTTGGCAACAGGGAAGGGTTGGCTGCATGATAGAGCCCGTTCTTAATAGAAACGCAGAGAGAGAGAGAGAGAGAGAGAGAGAGAGAGAGAGAGAGGCTTAACATATCTGGCAAGCAACCCATTTGATCATTCTAGAATCAGTTCCTGAACCCTCTGCAACTTGAAGGAGTTCCATATGGTTCTCTGGCAGACACACAGCATGTGGAAATTTCTTGACGGTAGAAAGTTTAAGCCCCATTGCTTTGGCAGTTCGAATAAATCCAACACAGTAACAATTAACTCCATGTGATGCCTATGACCAAGGTGGTGGGATTATCACCAGTAGTGGTCAGTAAGGTAGTGTTGCTCACCTTGTCTCCCAACACCACGTGTCCCTGCTGGTTACCAAGAGAGAGAGGTGATGGGGAGCTTGGCTCAGGAGTGGCAGCAGGAGTACTGGATTGACTCTGCTAAGCCTGCGCTACGCCAAGCTCCCCACTGGTTTGCTTCTCCCCCTCTCAGTAACTGGCAGC